ATTATTCCAATTATTTTATTTGGAATTTATTATACAATAAGAAAACTTAAACAAATTTAAATGTGTTCACTTTGTCTAGTTTTGTTGCAGTATACCCCAATTTATAAAATTACCAAATACTTAATTTCAGACAAAAGATGAATTATAATTAGTCATTACAATTTTTTTTTCACTTAAACAATTTTCAGTTTTAAAAGAAACTATTTTTAATACAAAAATTAAAAAAGCAAGGAACTTAAAAATAAGAAATTTAAAGAAGATGAGAAATTTAAAGAAAATAAGAAATTTAAAGATAAGAAATTTAAAAAAAATAAGAAAAAAATTTTTAAATCAATCTGATTTTTATAATATCAAAAATAGTAAGTTTAATTAAGCAAAATTTGTCACATTTTTATTGGATAAACTAATAAAAGTATTACATAACAAAAATACTGCAATTCTATTGGCTATATATATATATAAAATATTTATAATAATTTTTGAAAAATGGGAGGAGAGTTATATTAAATAAATAATTAGTTTGGTCTAACTTAAAGAAGATACATATATAAATAATTTTTTTTTAAAATTAATGGATTTTAATTATAGCAAAATATATACAGTATCTAGTAATAAATCATAGGTCATTTTAAAATAAAAATAATTATCTAAAAAGTTTTGTTAAATCAAACTTTTTTTTTTATAATAAACTTATCTTTTATACAATAAATAAAATTATTTTTTATAATAAAATGTATTTAAACTTACAACTTATTATAAAAATTTAATCATTATAAAAATATATTTAATGGATTTTATCCAAATTTTTGTGTATTTAATGCAAATTTTCAGCTATAATTAAACATTGAATTTTTAAATTTTAATTTATATTACTTAATTAAATAAACTTATGATTATATTAAAAGCCATAATTATTTAAAATTTCAAATAAATTGTATTAATATTCAAAGAAATTGACATTTTTAGAAAAAATATTTACTAATTTAATAAAATATTAAATTAATAAAAAAAATATAAATTTTTAATATTTGTGAAAGATGAACTCCTTATATAATAATATGTTTAATCTGAAATTTTAGATAATTATCACTTATAATATGATCTATAAGTTTACTTAATCAAGCAATATAAATTAAAACTGAAAAATTTAATATTTAACTATAGCTAAAAATTTGCATTAAATACGCAAAAATTTGGATAAAATCCATTAAATATATTTTTATAATGATTAAATTTTTATAATAAGTTGTAAGTTTATGTACATCTTATTATAAAGAACAATTTTATTTATTGTATAAAAGATAGGTTTATTATAAAAAAATGTTTGATTAAACAAAACTTTTTGAATAATCAATTTTATTTTAAGATGATTAGTAATTTGTTGTTAAATACTATATATTATAATATTTTGAATAATCAATTTTATTTTAAGATGATCAGTAATTTGTTGTTAAATACTATATATTATAATAATAAGTTAATATAACCCTTTTTTTCTTTATACATAAAAGGACAATATGTAATATATTTATTAAACTTGTTAGTATTTAATTTTCTAAGAATAAGTTTTATATTAATCTTTAATATTCAATATTCTAAGAACCTTCTATTTTTCTTTTCTTAATTCTGAATTCTTAGTAATTATTCTTAATTTCTAGCTAAATTTTTATAAGTTTTTTATTTCTGTGTTAGGATGCTCTTTGTAAAAAAATTATTTTATAATACCTTATATTAGAGATATTTTAATACAAATTTTTAAAATATTTGATTATATATATAATAAATAATTTTAGATAATACTACTTCTGTTATTATTAGTAAAAAATTTTTTAAAAGAAAAAGATTATAATTTCATAACTTTAAATATTTTAATTATTTATAAATCTTTAATTACTACACAAATTATGAAAGAAAATATTTAATTAACAGGTTAATTAAGATTTTAGTTAATTAACTGATTAATTAATTATAATATATTTTTTGTATTATATTTTATAAATTTAATCTCTATAAAAAAATATTTTATTTTTTAAAAATTACAATGAGAAAGATATTAAAAGTAAACATTATAAATAATTAATAAATTTATTTTTTAATGTATTTTTATTAAGAAATTTTAGAATCAATTCATTTTATAATACAGTTTATTATTATTTCATTATATTATTATTGGACTTTGATTTAAATTTTAAAATATATTAAAGGTAAAAAGTATTTAAATATTAAATATATCTATATATCTAGAGTAAAATACCTTTTCTTCTTAAATTCTTTCTTTTATTCTAAATATTTTAAAAATCTTTATCTTTTTCAGAATATTAGGAGATTTCATATATAAAATAAAATATCAAATCATAAGATGATTATATTAACAAAGAGCATTTTAATATTGAATTATAAGTATTAATAACAATTTAATTAAAAATTATAAATGATTGCAGAATATTCTAAGTTAAAAATAAAAAAAGGTTTTTAAATTTTAAAATAAATTAAGAATTAGTATATTACTTATTCTCTGAATGAGTATTTAAATAAAAAAATTAATTAATTGATCTTATTATATCTTTTTGTAAAAAATCTAATCAGAAGTATGTAAACCTACTAAGAAACATTTATCAAAAATGAAAATGATAACCCTAAAGTATACATTTTAGATGAAATACAGGATCCAGAAGAAAAACAAAATATTATATTATTTGAAAAAGAAAAATAAATATAAAATATTAGATTCAATTGATGATGAATTACTTAGAAATAAGTTAAATTATCAAATGATTACTTAAATAAGGTAATTGCTACATTCAAGATTTAATGTTATTATATGTTTATTACGTTGATGTTTAATAAATCTGTTTATTTAAGTCCGTACAACACACATGGAAAAAATAAAGATTTCTTTCAATAAATATAGAATTTCTATATCTAAAATAAAAAGAATAGTTACATAAGTTTAAAATAATTTTTACATGATTTTAATCTGAAAATTTTAAATATAATATTATATAATATTCTATAAACCGGGGTACTGAGGCATTTTAGTTTTGACCCAAGAAACATTGTATGGAAAAAATTACCTGATAACAATTTGATATTGTTTGCTATGAATGAATTCTCTAAATCATTCAGAAAAATTCCTGAAACTCTACAGGAATACTTTAATCTAAATTCAATCATACGTGCATCATCTTCTGTTGAAGGTAAAATGGACCGATCAATCAATCCAAACAAATAAATTCCATTTTGCCATTTCATACCATATAAATTGATGTCAAAACCTTGAATTAACAAAAATTATAATGAACTTTATACGATATAAAATATTTGAAGATAAATGTATCGTGTTGTGTCCAACCATAAATTATAAGTGATAATCTATCTTGATCAGTAATATTTTTCCAGCGTTTTAAGGTTTTATTAATAGAATTAATGTCTTTCATTAAATAATTCCTACATCCCATATTACAAAGAAACACTTTTCATACCTGGGTAACATTAAAAGATGATGATAAATGATTCACTTTTTCCTTTCCAAGTACTGCACGTGCCTCATTGTTCACAAGTGATTGCTCAATTCAAACTCAATCTGCAAAATATGAACAATAGAATGAAATACAACCTTTGCATGGCTTGGAAGTCAAGTTACACTGATGCATACTGTGAATGAAGGCGAAACTTCTTAGCAAGGAAAGACGAAATTTTCTCACTTTCACGCAGGTTTAGAAGAAGCCCACCAGAGAACGAAACTCCATAAATCGCCTAAAGCGATATTTAGGCAGCTTAGGTGGTAGCATCGAAACGAAATTCCGACTCCTTCCTCGCTGACTTTTCGTTCAATATCAAACATAAAACATTAACCTTCATTGTAGAATTTAAATTAATGGAAAGCATTTCTCCACTCGTTAATTGCAGTAATAGCAATATAAGATGTAAACGTTGATTTCGCTTTATGTTCAGTCTTTTGTCAAATGTAAAGTCCTCTTTCATTCGGCGAAAATTAAGGATGGAAAAAGACGGGGCACAAAAGAAATTTTCCAATCTTCAAATGATATCCGACAACAAATGTCAATCAGAATCACGTGATATAGATAAACGCGCTCTAAATTTTATTTCTAACATTATGTAATATTAACCTGTAATACGATTTAAATGCGTTATTAAAAAAAAAAAAAAAAAAAAAAAAAAAAAAAAAAAAAGCAGCGGCGGTTTTGATTACCTTTTCGGATACAATTAAAACTTCAATCGTGCGATAATTAAATGATTAAGGACACACTATGTTCCTCCTTAGTCGGAGCATACCGTAATTTATTAGATCATGAGTGAACTATTATTTAGACAATATTATGAACCGCAGTAATAAATTTGATGAACAATCCATTGTTTATAGGGTATGGTTTTTGGATGACGAAGGTTTAATATAATATATATCGGGTTTTATCGCAAAAAAAAAAAAAAAAAAAAATCTTCAGTATCTTTCCATTCGTATTTTTTTTTTTTTTTTTTTTTTCTTTCTCAATACTTAATATTCCTTTAAGAGCCGTGCACCGCTGAACGGTATACAGCTATTTAACTTTAATAATTGTAACGACGAATCTTGACATGTTTTAGTCGCCAAAATGAACCGAACACCGAACTCAAATAGTACTCAAAAAAATTACGCCCAAGCTGCAGCGCAGCCAAAACAAAAAACAGCTTTTCATACTAATAATCCTCACCATCCAAACCAACACCACCAACAGGTGTCTCAACAAAATCAATCTTCAGGATCTTCTACATCCACGAATTTTTCTTCATCCGCTAACGGAAAGCCTAATAATACATCACAAACGAAGCCACAGGCTCAGCATATTTCAAACATGGGAAATGGTAATACTGGCCGCTCGATCAAGCACAATAACGCAGTACAACTACCATCGAAAGGTCACGTTTGGGAAACAGCTCGTAAGTAACATAAATTTTCTTCTAGGTTTTTTTTCTAAACTAATTTTCTTTATGAAATTGCTATCAACAGTTTCGTTAAACTGCGCTAATAAATAAATAAATAAATATGTATGACATTCTGTTTGTTATCATGTTATGACTTTCTTAATAAATTTTACTGTTTTTTTTTACTTAGCGAATTCTTTTGGATTCGGAACAGTAAATTCACCAAACACACAAATACATGTGTCGCCTCCAACTGGACCAACGCTTACAAGTGGTGGAGGAGTTCCTAATGATTTACCAACGAAAGGAGGCCCGACCTTTGGAACGGTAAGTATATTATATAAAATTTCTGAAAATATATGATCATTAAATTTTTGCAATTTATTATTATAGGTGACAACTGCTACTACACAACTAACTAATGTTGGTACTTCTGGTCCAGGAGTCAATAATAATAGTAATAATAATAATAATAATAATAATAATAATAATAGTAGTAATAATAATAATAATGGTGCTCATAAACCAATAGCTACGCGTGCGAACGAGATTGCTCGTACACATTCTGCTCCACCGCTACTTAATCCTCAAGATTCAAATAATGTCAGAATTGTCGGACAATCAGGTCATCCACCTAATGTGGGAGTTCGTAATCAACTTACTAATATACATCAACAGCAGTCTATGTCTGTTTCTCATCAGCAACCTTCGGTACCGGTTAATAATTCTGCTTTACATCGTAAAGATTCAGTTTCTTCTACTGTCTCATCGAATGATGGACAACAACCATATCATTCTCATCAGCCGTCACATCATTCTAACCATTCTCATACGAATCAACATAATCATCCCCATTTCTCTCGACAACAGCACCAACATCATAAACCTATGGTGCAACCCGGTCAAAATATTACTGGACAATATACTTCAAGGTCAAGAGATAAACATATCTCAACATCTTCTCATATAAATCCTGCACAGCAACCAGTTCCACAAGCTACAATACCAATGGCTCCTGGTTCGATACCAATGTCTGTGCCTTGGTCTTATGGACGCGTGAGTTTTATATATATTTATATTTTTATTTATTTTACAAAAAGCTTTTTTTCTTTTAAAACAATTACCTTATTATTATATATATATTTTTTAATTAACTATTTTCATTCGTGTTTTTTAACTCTCACTATTTAGGATTATTTATATTATGCACAATATCCTCCTCATCCTCATCATCCTATATATATGACACAATTTCGCCCGCCAATGACAGGGGTGCAGGCTCATATTCCTCAAGCTCCAGTTACCGCTGTTAGTTATGTACCACCACAACAAAATCAACATAAAAGTAAAGCTATTCCTATTGTTGATCCTAATAGGGGTGTTACTATAGCGATTAAACAACAGCAACTATCCAAAAGTCCAAATTTCAAAAAAGAAGAAATTTCCTCTGTCTTGGTTGACAATAAACTCGAAGAAACTGATAAGGAGAGCGCTAATTCCGAAGATAAAGGCATATCCAAGGCCATTCCGATTGTTGACCCTGCAGAAAAAGAACGCAAAGAGCGCGAGGAATATGAAAAGAAAGAACGTGAAGAACATGAACGTTTAGAAAGAGAAAAGGAAGAAAAGGAACGCAAAGAGGCAGCAGAGAAAGCTCGTAAAGAACAAGAAGAAAAAGAAAGACAAGAAGCAGAAAGAAAGAAAGAAGAGGAACGTTTAGCAAAAGAGAGGGAAGAAAGGGAACGTAAAGAAGCAGAAGAGAAAGCTCGTAAAGAGCAAGAAGAAAAAGAAAGACAAGAATTAGAGAGAAAGAAAGAAGAAGAACGTTTAGCAAGAGAAAAGGAAGAGAAAGAACGTAAAGAAGCGGAAGAGAAAGCTCGTAAAGAGCAAGAAGAAAAAGAAAGACAAGAAGCAGAGAGGAAGAAAAAAGAAGAAGAACGTTTAGCAAGAGAAAAGGAGGAAAGAGAACGTAAAGAGGCGGAGGAAAAAGCTCGTAAGGAACAAGAAGAAAAAGAAAGACAAGAAGCAGAGAGAAAGAAAGAAGAAGAACGGTTAGCAATTGAGAAGTTAGAAAGAGAACGTAAAGAAGCGGAAGAGAAAGCTCGTAAAGTGCAAGAAGAAAAAGAAAGACAAGAAGCGGAGAGAAAGAAAGAAGAAGAACGTTTAGCACAAGAGAAGAAAGAAAGGGAAGCAGAAGAGAAAATTCGTAAGGTGATTGAGGATAGGGAAAGACAAGAAGCCGAGAGTAAGGAAAAAGAAGAAAGTGCTAAAACAAAGACAACTGAGGTTGAATCAACTGATAAGAAAGATCTTAAAAAAGAAGAAAAGAAGATCGGCAAAGGGAATCGCCCAGGTCCATTGGATTTGTCACGTACTACATCTGCACCAGCAATTCCCAGTGCACCACTTAGTGCTCTTGGTAGTGCTCGTTTAATTGATGACTTAACAACTGTATCATATCCTCCGCATATTAAATCACCAGATCCAAAATTAAATTCTGACGCTGAGCCAGGAAAATTCAAATATGATCGCATCTTCCTTATGCAATTCATGGACGTTTGTAAAGAAAAGCCAGAACATTTGCCCGCATTAGAAGCTATTGGTTTGGAAGAAACTAAAGATGACAAGAAGGGTAATAGACAAGGTTCTCGAACTCAGAATGCAAGAATAACGCATAAGAATAGTCCAAATCAATCTCAATTTGCTCAAATGGGAGAATTCAAACTACCAAAGACTAGCGAGGAAAGGTTCCTTGCTTCATCAATAAGAATTGGAACGACATCTGTTTCGAGTGGCTTTGTACGAAATCCACTTGGTCGTACTGGAAGTGGAAGTACATTATTACCACCTCCAGCAATGACGGCTTCCCCACCAAGCCCAGGTCGCGCGTCTAGTGGACGAAGAGATGGACGAAGAAATGGTGGTAAAGGGGGACATCAATTTCAAGGACCAAATTTCGGACATGAACAGATTGTACCTCTTGAACGTACAGAGAATCGATGGGTTCCTGCTTCAGTTTTAGGTAATTTACCAAAAGCAACTGAAGAATTCATTCCTATTGAAGTAGTACAGCGCAAAGTTAAGGCGCTTTTGAATAAATTGACGTTAGAAAAATTTGATTCTATATCGGATCAAATTATTGATTATGCTAATAAATCGAGGGATGAAAAAGATGGACGGATATTAAAGGAAGTAATTCGCCTTATATTTGAGAAATCTTGTGATGAACCGAATTTCTGTGCAATGTACGCTCAACTTTGCCGTAAAATGATGGAGAGGGTTGATCCTGTTATTGTAGATGAAAATGTCAAAAATACTGAGGGTAAATTCGTTCAAGGTGGAACGTTATTTAGGAAATACCTTCTTAATCGTTGTCAGGAAGATTTTGAGAAAGGTTGGAAAGTTAATGTTCCAGTACCTGCCAATGAAAAAGGAGAACCAGATCTCATGTCAGATGAATATTATGCAGCTGCGAAAGCCAAAAGACATGGTCTAGGTTTAATACGTTTCATCGGAGAATTATTTAAACTAAATATGCTTACCGAGCGTATTATGCATGAATGTATAAAGAAATTATTAACGTTTCAAGGATCGCCCGAAGAAGAAGAAATGGAAAGTTTATGTAAACTAATGAATACCGTAGGTGAACAACTTGATCATGCCAATGGCAGAACAAACCAACCAGATCATGCCAAAACCACTCAACTTGATGATGCAAAAGCAAGACAGGCTATGGACAGTTATTTTAATCGCATGGAAGATATATTGAAACACCCAAATATGACAAGTCGCATAAAATTCATGATAATGGTAGGTTTTTTAATTATTTCTTAAGAAAATATTTCTTTTACTAAAAATAATTCTTAATTATTCTTTTTAGGATATCATCGATTTGCGAAGTAATTCTTGGAAACCTCGACGAGATATTAATGCTCCAAAGACAATTGCAGAAATCCATGAAGATGTAATATAATATTATAAATAGTAAAATTCTTCAACGTGAATTAAGTAAATCTTTTTATTAACGTATTTTATTTTGGTTATAGGCTGCAAAACAAAAAGAGGAAGCTGATTTCCTTAGACGAACAGCTAGCTCAGGTGGTAGAGGTAAACTCATTTTTAAATTATTATATAGGCATCTTTTTGTTTAAATGGATAATAGATACGATATAAAATTTATTACAGGTCTGCCTAAAATTGGAGAGCAAATGTCACGTAGTGGTTCAGGTCGTCGTGACCACCGATCGGACAAAGGAATGTCATCTCACGGATCGGCAACACCTGGAAACGATGGATGGATTAACGTTGGAGGAGGTTCACAGAGAAATAATAAAGTCGGCGACCTTACTAAATTCGGATCTATTCGTAGTAGTAAAAACACTAGCAACGTCAGTTTAGCACCAGGAGGCAGTCTTGGAAATTTTACTAAAGCTTGGAGCAAGAGTGATAATAAAGATCGAGAAGACAAGTCTGCAGGTCTAAGTAGAACGAATTCGACGTCAAATATGTATAGTGTATTAGAGAGCTCTGAGGGAAGGAAGAGCTCAGAATTTGCAGCTTCAGAACCTCAAAAATTCGTTCCAATGGAACGTAAAAAATTAGCTTTATTGCCGCGCACAATCGGTACTACGCCCGAAGAGTCTCAGTCTGCTATCAAATCAACTGCATCTAAGTCTGTCGAGGCGGCATCATCAGTACAAACGATGCCAGAAGAGGTGGCAGTAAAGAAGATCGATAGTATGATTGCGGAGTACTTTTCAGTTTTGGATATTAAAGTAAGTGAAATAATAAAGATTAACTCCGATCCTAATTATTCTCCTGTGAAATTTTTTTTTTTTTGACATCTTTACGATAGGAGTTTGAACCACTAATGATATATATACAGTTATTTCATGGTCAGCCTAATATCATTTATCATCACGTTAGAATTGTGATGATTGCATGATATCTACGGCTCTCCGTAAAATAACTATTACGTATATCTTCATCTATTAATTATTTGTAAAAAACTTCAAAATTGAAACTGGTTATTAATACGATAATATCATTTTCAGGAGGTCCTCGCTTGTCTCAAGGAGATCCCGACAGAATTTCATGCAAAAGCAATAGAGGAAATTACAAACAAAGTAATTGAGAAAAAGCAGGCAGATGTGGACAATGTTATAAATTTATTCAAAGAAATTATATCATCCGAAACTTGCGATATTAGTAATTTCAAAGATGGTTTTAAGGGATCGTTAGAATTTTTAATGGAAATTGGTGCAGATGCACCAATGGCTTATTCGTTTATAGGACAATTATTATATAGTACTGGACTTGATTTTCGGGATATTACAACACTCCTTGGAGCTTTGGATAGTGACCGAGATATAGAAAAAATAGTAAAGGGATATGTGAACGCTTTAAAGAATGATCAGGTAGTTAAAAAAACATTTATATTAATTTAACAATTAATTTTTACTTGTAAATTAATTATTTTTTTTTTTTTGATTAGGGAGAAGAAAAATGTGGACTAAAAATAAATGAATTTGATATTAAATCGTTGTTCCCAAAGAAAAATAAAGATGGTATAAATAAATTTCTTGAAGATCTTGTAAGTTGCATTGTTTTTATTTTCTCGTTTTAATTTTTTATTTCCAACTAATTCGATCTCTTTTTCTTTTTTTAAAAAATTTAGGGATTGGGATCACTAAAATAATAAATTGGATTTTTTAATTGGGTTAAAATTAAGTTAGTTGTAAAATGAACATTTTATTCTATTTTTATTTGTCTCATAGAATTTTTAATTTTAACGAGTCAGGTTTTTTTTTTTTTTTTTTGTCTATATTAAAAAATCATACAATTTGTACATTTCAACAATCCAAAAATAATCATACATTAATTTTAAAGAAATTCATTTTTTTTATAAAAAAAAATTATTTAATGAATTTGGAAGTATTTTAAATTTTCATTCCTTGTACATTTTTTCTCTTACATATTTTTTCTATAAAAAAAAAAAAAAAAAAAATTCATATGAATTTTTTGTTTCCCTTTAAAAAAAAAAAAAAATCATTAAACAAAAAACTTTACAAAATTCCGTCAACAACAAAAAAAAAACTAATTTTATATACAATGGTGTACAAAAAAAATTGACAACTTTTTAAATCGGGTTAGCTTCACAACCATTACACCAGTTAAAGTATACAATGCATCAATTTTAAAGCTGAAAAAAAAAATTATAAACCATTTTCTCAGACTGGCCCTCTATACTGGATGATTATTATCTACTTATTAATAAAGATTACAAATAAACAAGATAGAGAATTTTTTTTACAAATAGTGGGATATAAAAATCGATTGACGCACAGATTGATCTAAATCAGTTACGCAACTTGGTTTTTTATTAAAATAAACCCAGAACCATACCGACTCGATTTCACATTATGTGCACAGTCATTTTTTTACTAGTAAGTCTGCGGATGATATAATAATCTCGTTGAAACGTGTCAAAATTTTTGATGCTTAGCATGAATACAATTATTAAGGTCATTAACATTACATGTGTTACGTTCTAAATATTTAAATAACAAGCCATTATGTTGAGTGGGCACAAGTACAATTAAGCCACAAAAAACGAAATTTTTTGACATCTCTATATGTTACGTAAAGCTTATACTATAAAATAAACAATAAGCCAGGATATACTAATGCTTATTTTAAGCCTTTGAGTCCTAAATGGAAGATTTATATAAAATAAATTCGAATTCACCGTGTTGTCTTAATCTTTCATTCAAAAAAAAATTTAAAAAAAAAAAAAGAACAATCATCTGTAAGTGTTTCTTTTATTGTTTATAATTTGGTGTACATATATATATATTTATTTTTTTTTTCCTTATCGTTAACAAATAGTCAAAAATGAAACAACTCCTCAAAGTATTGATTGTACTCAGTTACATAGCTTCTGTAATGGCAGATGTGGATGATGGTCTTGATGCACCACCAGAAGAGTTTTCTCAACCGATACCGTTGTGATTTTCTATCGAGAGACAAAGATCTTAAAGTTTTAAGCTTACCTGCCTATAAAAATAAATATGCTTGAAATAATGTATTGTTTGAACAAAATAATAAAAATTCATCAATCTTAGAGTTGGCAAACTCCGGTCTACTATAATTTTTCTTTTGCATCAACATATTAAAAATTGTTTTCTAACCCGTTATTGGTCGAGCAACGTTAATTTTCTTTTTGGCGCAGAATGCACGAACGTGAATTCATTGATAATTTTTTTTAAAAAAAGAAACCTGCTTATGTACCTAAAAATAAACATATTGAAACCACTTCTTTGCTTTTCTCTTTTGTTGAACAGAGTCTTGTTTGCTTGATTCAATGCGTTTTATTCTTATTTGATTTAGTTTGTATTCAATTTTTATTTTTATTTTTTTTGTCATATTTACTTCTCTAGTCGTCCTACTCTAAACAGTTATGGTTTCGCAGTATGCACAGTATGCCTCTGGGATCGTTCAATTTACAATTACAATAATGTGAAAAAGACTGACCAGAATCAATTAAGATATAGTATCAAAATTAAATGATTTCAAAACTTAATGCATACTTTGATTTAAAAACCTATCCTTCGTATGAAATATATCGACGAATGTTTTAAGTAAACGGAACAAATTTTGTTTAGAATAATTTCGAGTGAGAAAGAGAGAAAGCTCCTGAAAGAATATCGTAAATAAAAGGTGATTTGAAAATTTGCAGCTTAAAAATTAATTTACTGTACAAGGCATATACGGAAATTCCGATCTGTTTTCATCAGTTTTTCCTTAACCTATTTCCTTGTCTGCCTGCTTATTGAAAGTTCCAAGACCAATGACAAAAGAAGAGTCAAGATGATAAAGGATCTTTTCTTTATTTATAATGCAAACTTGGACCCGACCAAGATTTTTGATATCAATGGCGTTTGAACTCACCTTCCTAATTAAGAAACCTTCAATCGAAACATACATTATCACTTTGGTTAGACTAAGGAATTTGCAAAAATTTTTATAAGGGTTGTATGCAGTTCTGTTAAAATAGTTATATTAAAGATATGTAAAAAGGTAAATAAGAATTTGTTTTTCATAACAATTTTACTTTCATTATGTGAGCTATTATAGCTTACAAATCGCTAAGTCTAACCTTGTTAAATGTATTTATAGACCTTGGTAAGAAGGAATTAGTAGCTGGCTTGTAATACATCATTCCAATTTAGTTCTTCGTTTGCAAAGAATTTAACTGATAATATATTTGTTTCTGTTTGTTTCTGTTAATAGAATAGAGTCAAACGAAAGGTCAATTTACGTTCAGTCGACATTTTTGATAAGTCTACAACCAGCCAAGGAGATGAAATTATGAAACTTTATGATGGTGATAACCTGAAAAAGAAATTGAAGATTACAGCCGAAGACTTTCAGTCCAATAGCAACGATACCGATTTTTTTGATGATTTATATATTGATAACGAAAACAAGGAAGCACCAACTGAGAAGTCATCAACCGACATTCAATATCCTCCCATTGAAAGTGAGGAGGAAATGGAGGAAATTCAATACCTTATCACAAAAATGGAAAATATGAATCATCGGCTCTTCGAATATCATATTGTCAATCTCTCCAAAAAAAACCTCACTAACCCAGTAAATAAAGTTTTTTCAATTGACGATAAAGAAAAAATGAAAAAATACTGGGAAGAAGTATGTGTTCCATATGTTAGCTATCAGCTTTTTAGATTGTAATTGGTAATAATCTTGAATGTTATTTAGATAGAGCCATCAGCTGAAGAGAAACAGAATACAACACGTCAATCAAAATGGGAAAAAACTATCAAGCCTCTGATTAATAAGTATGCACTTGCCATTAAAGTGAGGCCGGAGTCAATTTTTGATAACGATGCTCAGCAATCATCAACAAAAGTTATTTTGATAGTCCATTTGAGGACGAATTTGACTTTAAAAAGCATTATGAACTTCTATGAGTGCGGGATATCTATCAGCGATTGTAAGTATAATGATAACTTACTACTTAATATATTATAACACAATCAATTAATTCTATACTATCCTTTAGTATATTACTATTCACCTCATCTTTCAATATACTTCGTGATGCAAATACATTGGAGATAGCTTATAGAGATTCATTCGTTAATCCTATAATTCTGAAGGTATTTGACGACATGAGTGATAAAATTAGATTCTAAATGTATGTTATTATATTATATATAGTTTATTTATATCTAATATAATAAACTCTTTACTTATCAAATATAATAATATTTGTATAGTGGAGAAATAGAGAGTATTTTACGCAAGCAACATCAAAATCAAACAAATAGCCTAAAGCCTTGTGTAAGTCTTGAGTCAAAATATGATAGGATTTTAAAGATTTATATGAATGCAAGTGAAATTGAGATTGGGTTTTTTGGAAGTAGTGGGAAATGCAATGCAAGTGGATCTTACTGGATACTGTATAGATATGGAAAAACTGTTCAAAGGTTTGTGATTTTTAGATATTCTTGTCTTAAAAAATTTATGCAATAAAGCTCATAGAGTTTGTTATCTTTGAGTGATGCAAATTTCAATTTTTTATCAACATCAGCATTACTTAAAACGCAATGCAATAGAAGAACAACTTCTATGTCTCTAAAGCTTTGGTGTACTCGTATATCATATGTATTATTACATTTGTATTATAGTTACTGATCTAATAATTTAACGTATTTTACTTATCAATTTAAAGCGTAAGACAATAATATATGCAATTCATTGTGTCAAAGGAGGATTGTACGTTGTAGACATCATAACAAATTTTACTATTCTAGATAATAAAGATCAAGTATATGTGATAGATAAAATCTTAGAGAAAATATATTTCTTTAAGGTATGAATTCCAGTAATCGCTTTTTTAGTATGATTATTAATCTAACTTTATATTTGTCATTATAGAGCTGAGTTATGGATTATTACTTAAAGTTACAAGAAATATCACGTAAGGTACAAAAACATTCTTCATCTGACAAAAATTTACTAAAAGCGTCATCATCTAAACACCATTAGAAATTTAAAATTCTACACTTTACGTTAGTAAGTTATAATTTGAAAAAAACAAAACAAAATACCAGTACATAGATTAGTTAAATAATATATGTATTGTTCTAGCTGTATTTTAAAATATTATTTCTAATAGTTCTTATATCATGTTGTGAGTGTATGCAATTTGATCTGGAATATTTATCTGAGAATAAACTTATTTTTTCGAATTACATGAGTGTGTGGCTTATGTAAAAATGTTTTGCAGTATATACTATACATAGTATCAGTAAAGTTTTTTTCTGACTCAGCTAGTCTAGAATAATAATCACTTGATCAGAAGAATTGTAAATGGAGAAAAGCAATCAGTTGTAATAAAGACCATAAAAATGAAAACATAAAGAATGTTATAGGTTGATAAGGTGATAGTGAGAACTAGCCTATCACCTTTAATATTGGAAGGCTTATCATTAATAAAGCGAGGCATGTAAATTTAATCACCTAAAATATGCTAGTAAAATTCTTGCCAAAAGCATACAGGTTGTATAATGTACTGTACAATATAAGATTGTGTATTCTCATATCAATAAAACAATATTTAAGTATGAATATTTTTTTAGCAATCATCATTTCGCATATAAGATTTGAAGATGTGTATGCTAATCCTTCATCATTTTAGAAAAACTTGTAATAAGAATATATCTAATACTAAAGTTAATGATAAAATCATGAATCAGATTTCTGTGCAAGATAAATTTACTGAGACTAACTTTCAAAAAAGAAAGAAACAGGATAAAAAGATTTTCAGGTTCTTTAGTAATGTTGGTGGTATAGAAGTAATAAAATGGTTAAAGTCTTTTAATGCTACTATAATCTTAAATTTATCTTCAGATGGTGTCGATTTTCTTATTGCTAGATTAAACGAATAAATGCGTACCTACTGCTATATGTATTTTATGTAACTTTTGATAATAAAGGGCGATCTTCCTGCTACAACCATTTTAATTTTTTATTTGTAAAGTAGTGTGACATTAATATCACAGCTCTCAGAGCTAAAATCATAAAGTTTTCAGTTTCCATTTACCATATTAATTAGCATAAATAACTCTGTTCTAAAATTTTGCTGGATATTATTAGTTTAACTGTAACATTAATATCACATTTCTCCTAATAAGATTTCGAATAAGAATCCATATGACTAAATTAGCTGATCATCCTGTATAAATATATCATGCGAAGCTAATCATGAGAGATCTACAAATTGAAAGTGACAAGAGAGCATCAGAAACTAACGAGATGCTGAAAAGAAGCCAGGTGTACTGTAATACAATAATAATCATGTTGGGTATATTATTTCAGATCTAATTTAACTGAATCAAAAAAAAATCAGTCATAAATATGTTTCCACCCTGAAGTTAATCAAATAAAAATGAATTTGATATTTTATTATAATATAGTTGTTACAAACTATTATAAATCACTATAAATCGATAAAAATAATTAAATTGCTAAAATCAATAAAATACTTTAAAATTGTTATAATCTGTTATAATCTACTAAAATACTATTATGGATTTAGATAGTAGAGCCCAATATAAGCTAATTTCTATAGGTTATAGTGATATAAACTTTGAAAAAATAGAAGAATATTAGAAGCATTATATTTTTTAGGTAAACGATATGATCATGAAACATCAGAAATGTGATGCTCTCGTATTTGTGATCCATTTAAAAAAATACTTAAAGAGAATCCAAGAATTCTTTCTAAGAATGGATATATTACAATATTTGAAAATTTATATGAACATGATAAAGTCATGGTCTTTCATTAAATTACATTTATTGTAATGTATGTGACTCCTTAATTTTCATATCTGAAAATGATTTTAGCAGAGCTAATTATTATTGAAATAGCCACTTGAAGAGATGTATTTCTGAAAATATTATTTCGAATGAATATGCAAAAAGAGAAGAAATTCTCAAATTTATTGATAAAAAGGAATTTCATATCTGGTAATATAAATAATTCATATTACAAGAAGAGGCTAAAATTAATCACCTTCATTTAGAGCTTTTCTTTCAATCTAACTCATACTTAGAAAAGGATAAGTTGGCATCAGTATCTTATGATCATGATGAAATTTTACGGTTAGCTATAAAAATTATGCACAATCTAAAGCAACTGTAGCAAAAAATACTATGCCAAGTGTTTCAAATTTTGAGCCAGCTTGTATTTCACCTACTAGGTAAGAAATATTTCACTAACTTCTTATCAATCATTAAATTACTAAAGCAATACAAGCGAAATATTTATTTCATTTATATATATAAAACAAAATAACTTAAACTATCTTAATTAAAGTATTACGTTAAGATTGAAAGATAGAACAAAAATCACGATTGTTTAACTGATTTAATTAATATAATTTATTTTTTACACTACATGATAGATGATCACTTAATGGAATTAGCCAAAGACGCTATGCATAATCTGCAGGTTAGATCCTCTAATATACTATATAACAATTTTAATAAAGTATTTTTTGAGAAAGATCCTGAATATTATATTATTCAGCTATACGAAGCACCTCAAGACCAATGTATATAAGCATATATGATATAAATTAACATATTTTCGATCCTCATTAAAGTATATATAATGTAATATTGAGATCTTCAATGCACATTTCACATGCCTTTAATCACACAGGCGTAAAGTGCCTTGCATATTCTTCTGTCCTTTTCCCAACATGTTTGTAAGCCTAGAGAGAAGTAAATAAAGTCATTTAAAAAGTAGTATAGTAAAATTATTATGCTTTTATAATATTTTTTTACTTCGTTTAACAAAACTTTCACTAACATTTAACCTTTACTCTATTAAACATGAAAGAATTCCTTTTAACAAGAAAGCCTCTTGATATCATCAGAATCTCTACAGAATTATTTGTACGAGTAGAGAAAGGTAAATAGACAGGCAATCTCAAAAAGGGGGTAGAGAACTTTAAAATATTTTAAAGCGAGTTTTAAAACAAGTCTCTTTAGAGAATAAGCGGATAAAGAAGCTTTGAAGTTTTAGTACTGGGAAAAAATTAGTTAAACAGGTCAGGCGATAAACTATTTTCATTATGTATATATATATAGATATGATGACATGCTTTTTTTAGGTTTTCTAGTATGATATAATCACTAGTAAAGAGGCTGATGTTTGTTGTAATATTACTTTTTGTATAGCAGTAATTAGTTTTATACTATATATTAGCATATACGATAGCTACATATCAAACATTTTACTAGCACTTGAAGCTTTATGAAAATGGAAACCTAATCTGATCTCGCGATATAATATTAAATTATTTGTCAAATGAGTATATTGCAAATTCTTGCTTCATCATTTATACTTACTAAATAGATATATGCTATAAAATCATCTGCATACTTTTCATGATCTTGTTTAAAGCTAAGTAATTCAGGTAACTGAAACTCTACTGGTAATGCCATGTTTATTTGATTTAGTGGATTATTCTGTAATGCTAAAATTTGTCCCTGCAAATTTAAAATATTCTGGTCTCTTTACCTAATTACTAGCTGAAAAACAAACTTTTTACGTAGTAATTCACTAATGTGAGTTTGTTTTTTTACTATATAGATTAACATTCTATTTATCTAATTTTGAACATAAGTCTGTAACTGTCAGGTATTTTGCTGAAAATGGTTAATATTTCACTGATACAATAGTTGTTTAGCAAATTTTTCTTGTATCAACGTACCTATACAGGCTTGTTTTCTTGCCATATTACCTATCATTCTATTTATCTAGTTTGAGCATTAGTTTGATATTGATGAAGATCAACAATAACCCTTTATTTTACCTCTTTAGTAAGTTGCTTTCGTATAATTTCATTATCATGCTCGGCTTCTGCATTATATCGTCTTCTCTATTTCTAGATTATATTTTGATGCAGATTATTTTCTTTTTGACAAATTTGCCTTGTTGCCCTTTTTATTTAATCTATCAGAATATCTTTAGTTATTGCTCTATTATTTAGATAACTATCTATAGCATTTATTAGCTCAGTGATTGTGACCATATTATCATCAGAATTATATAAGTCTGGAGAATTACTTCGCTCTAAAGAATTTTTTTATGATAAGATAATCTTGATCTGACATCGCAATTTTTCTACCTTCTTCTCAGATTCTATTAACTGCTTTTCTAAGCTAAAAATATACTTATCCTTATCTTGCACATCCTTTCTAGCTTGATATAACTGATTTTTTTAGGCTAGAGAGTTCAGACCTCAGTTTTATTATCTCTTCCTTCAAAATATTCTCAAGTCGTTTTATTTTCTTATTAAGATTCTGGATTTTTTACTCAATTGGACATATTCTCGTTCTGGTTGATAAATTCATCTTTTATTTTGGTAATTAATTTCTACCTCTGATTGCAATGCATCTCAAAAATATGAGTTATCTTCTTCCAGCTCAGCTTTATATTCTTCACATGTTCTTTTCTGCCTTAGGTGAGGTTTGCGAAATGACATTTTTTTTTTTTTCGTAATTATAAAAAAGAATAGGAGAACTAGTTATTTATATTGATCCTCAAAAAGTGTGAGAGCTAGACTAAATCATAGCAAAACAAATACCTACGATTAATATCGATCTTCAAAAAACTCATAATTTAGACCAGCATCTTACCTTACAAAAACTATATTATTGTTCTGAAGGTTTGTATCAAAATGTTAAGAGATTATAGAATGCTTATAAAAAAGCTAGTTACAGTCTTATTGATGTAAAAAAATGGATTAAGGGCTAAGCAATGTATCAAATTTTTCATCTTTTACCAAAGCATATACTTTATACCAGTTACTCTAAAATCATGAAGCCAAATACTATATACCAATGTGATAATTGAAATACCATATGATGAAGATGTAGATACAAATTTACTAGATGATGGCCCAATATTTTACTATGTATTATTAGTTATAGACTATGCGACTAGATTTAAAGATTTTGTTTTTTTAACA